TGCCAGCCACCTTCGCGCTCGGGCGGCCACTATCGGCAGACAGCAATGGCATTGCAATCGGACCGCCACGAGGCGATCCCGGCGGCGCAGCCGCAAGAGCGCGCGGCCGCTGCGGCTCTGCATCGAGCGGCGGTGCGGCGCAGCGTCGCGCGTGCGGCGGCGCGCGGCACAGCAGCGCCGTCACCGCCGCGGCGTCGCCGTCCCTGGCCTTCTCCAGGAGTCCTGAGCTCCACGCGAGCGACCACGCGAGAGAGGGCGCGCTGCCACTGCCGCCGTTGCTGCCGCTGCCGCTGCCGCTGCCGCTGCCGCTGCCGCTGCCGCTGCCGCTGCCGCTGCCGCTGCCGCTGCCGCTGTCGCTGCCGCTGCCGCTGCCGCTGCCGCTGCTGCCTTTGGCGCACAGCGCTATGATAGGGGTGTCAGCGGGCGGCACGGCGTCCGATGGCACGCACACGCGCGCTGATGATTTCGTGTTGCGCGCGGGCGGCGGCGGTTCCGATGCGACAGATGCAGTCGCGGTCTGCAGTGCGTGCATGACGTTGCGCACTGAGTGTGTCAGCGCGCGGGTGAGGCACCTGTTGCAGCTGCTGAAAAACTGGTTGTGTGTGCCAGTTCCTTACGTGAAGGTGCTAACGGCAATCACACACTTTTGTTAGGACGTGCAAAAACTGCGGCAGTTCAAACTACGAATGACCTTCCTGCACTGATACAGCATCAACTGCTACGCCACACTGACCGGCCGGCGTTGCGATGGGACGACTTCGACAGGACAGGGCAGCCCATATGCAACAATGCACTCTCAACAGGGACGCAAAGGGTGAGCACAGGGCGTGTTTTACCTGCTAAACCTCTTGACAAACTCTTGACGACTATTTGTACTCGCCATGTTGCTGGCCGAAGCGACGAGCGAGGCACATCGCTATATGAGACCTACAGACAGTTGTGCGGGAATATATTGATGATCCGCAGTCGTTCTTGCCTCTTCATGCTTCTCCGCTGAAGGTTGGCGGCCTACGCCGCATGCTGCGGCGTGCGAGTCTGGCGGTTCTTGTTCTTGCACAGTTTCCATCTGCACAGTTTCCACCTGAGACGAAAAACTGTCTGCCCCAGACGCCGACACTGTTTTCTCGGTCATGGCCATCGAGACGCCTGAACCCATTGCCACTGTCGTGATAGTGCAGCCGGACGAGGCCTATGTAGCCGGAGGCTCCTTTAGAATGCCTTCTTGCTGGCTGGAGGGAACGCATAAATGCAGTGAACAAGCCAGGTTGAATTCAGCTTGGGGCCGAACTTGACCTGTGCTCGGACGTGGTGCGGCGTCTGGCACATAGTAGGTAGACGCTTGCCTTGTCTGTCCAGCATGCACCCCTTTGCATCGAAAGCCAAAGCAAGCCCTGCCCAGCTCTTTTGTTTTTTTTATTCCAAAAAATGCATCGCAAGACGGCGGGATATTGTCTTCGCGATGCATTGCACAGCGGAAAGCGGGTGCAACTGGTGTGTCGTTCTCTTTTAGTCCCCTCATTTCACTGACCAAGACAAGCAACACCGTTGCTGCTTGCTGCTAGATTTGCGCGAGTGCGGAACTTCGAAAATCCGTTACGCGCACTGAAACTGTTTACGAAGGTAAAAGAAGGAGGTGAGGTGGAGTTTGCTTCATGTTTCGCTTCTTCATTCACTATTCTTCTCTACAGATGCCTTTGCTGCGGAATGCACTAGGGGAGGTAGCTACAACAGTGAAATGCTGGACATCCGGATGGGAACGCTCTCGCGCAGGCATAGGAGGCAATGTATACAGCTTGAAGTTGATGGCCTGGCGACTTCCTGCTTTTGCGACTCTCCGACGGTCAACACTGTGCATGCACAGCGGATGAAACAGCAATCAATTGAACTGGTTCGATGGCCTGGTCCTGAAGTCGTGTTCGTGGCACACAATAAGTGGTGATCACACCGTCTACCTACACCAACAGCAGCGCAGCGCCGATGCACAACGGTGCAAGCGAACTCAAATTCTACATCGCACCTGAGCCATACCTCATTCAATGCATATTTCTATGCCGGCTCTGCTTGCGAATTCGCTGCAGAGACAGTGTGCGGCTCGTGAACGCAGTTTCACGGGGCCATGTGACACTCTGGACAAGTATCATGCAAGCCTCTCAAGCATGGTCGCGCGACATGCCTGTGTGCGCCTGCAGTGCAGTACTGTAAAGACACTATGCACATACATCGATATCATTTCACTAAACTTGCACTGTACAGTCTACTGGTATATCAGTACGTGCGAGGATGACCTGTACTTTTATTGATTCTCGCTCACGGCACGAAAAAGCCCAGATGAATCATTCATGATGTATCTAAGCTTGCTGTACGGAATCTACATGTCGTGTGACAGTCTGAAAGTGTCTCCATGATCATGACAGCCACTCAATTGACCTCGCCGCCAAATGGCATCTCGAGATCCCCCCCTACGTCCTCGTCCATGTGCCACAGAGCCCCCCCCCCTGTACTACTTCAGTACACCATGCAGGACCTGGCGCTCAGCAGGTCACCTGCACGCTTTAAAGTTTGATTGTTTTCCGAAGCTGGAACTTTGAACAATACATTCTTTGGCATGTGCAAAGTAAGAATCTGAGCTGAAAGTGTTCAGGTAAATGTTTCAAGCGAGAACAAGTCATGACCGCATATTATGCGGCCTACTCAGTGGCCCGGGGCTAGTGCACTGCAGCACTACTGGACAACGCAAGTGCTTCGATGTCCTCATACTCAGGGTGCGAAGGGGCCCAGATGATCAACATGATAATGTATTATGATTATTATAGCATTAATGTGAATGATGCCATACGAGGTGCTCACCACTGGCATGCCACGAGTCACGCCCTAAGTGAGAATTGATCTAAGTAGCATCCCTCGCAGCGATCCTGCGTCAGTAGCCTAGGCTGTAATGACCGGGCCCGGGGGCTGGTCGACAAGGACTACACGCCATTCCTGGCGTCCCCGGGGGGTATTGCAGGATATGTCCATATGGACATATTCAAGTTGCTGCCTGCCGCGGCGCCTCTCCGCCGGCCGCCGTCACTGGCTACAACGACTCGGAGTCGGACGTGACGCATCCGATGAGTCACCGCTCATGGTGGCAGTCATTTGCTAGCGCGCTTCATAGTACACTCAGTAGGCTGTTGGCAAGTGCCGCAGTGCATCGCCCGGGTGCGGAGTTGCTGCGCATGGACCTGCTAATGGTGTAACAGCCTGAGTCAACGGTTGCCGGAGCGCTCTTCCGAAGTTCCCGCTGCAGCCGCGCTGGCATTGATGCCACGGCAGAGTACTCCGAGTACACGGGCCGCGCAAGCGGACCAATTGTGGTGACCCTGGCTTTACCACTGAGCTAAAAAGCTTCTGCACACTTGGCAGGGTAGCTGTCCCCTTCTGGGGTCACCATGCCAGGATACCACCCCCCCCCCCCCCCATTAATGCATTATCTTGACTTGGTCCCTTAAGCCACCGTAGGCTACGAATTGCGACTCATACGTATTGCAGCCTGCACTGCAGTGGCACCCGCTGGGCCATTGTAGTACTCCCCAAATACCCCAAATAACCGTTACTCAACACACTGTGGCCCTGCCAGTAGCAGAACTTCGGAAGGCACACTGTTGGCAAAAGCTGATCTTCAATTTTCTCAAATGGTAACAAGGAGGATAAAATTTTGTTAAGTTGTCAGGCGACTCGGACACAACTCACGAGAGCACATGTGTTGAGTCAACTGAAAACACGATGAGAAATCTGTCTCAGGTGGCACGTCAGTGAGCACCCCAAGTTGGGTCCCCAACCTTAACACATGCTGAGCTCTGCTGAGTCGCTTTTCTTCGAGTGAGCAAACTGTGTCACAAATAGGGTACCCGTGTGGGTGCCACAGTGCCCTCAAGTACTGCCCGACTACAGTTGACTGGAGAGTGAGCTGGTATACCTCTACCTGCCAGCATCAGAGTTATATATAGGTGGATAGATACATGGCATGATGCCATGAGTGTATCATAATGCCGCATGTCACCCCATGATGTGCGTCTCAGAGGTGTGTGAGTGCACGCTTACACCGCAAATCCAGCCAGGTACAAACATTACACAAGGAACACTCATGAATCGACCTCAGGTACCAAAACTTTGCAAGGATCGCATGTCAAAATCGCGAACTTCTTGAAGCTACGGTAGCTCAGATGGGAGAAGAGAGGAAGCAAAAGCAACCCTGAGCATCATTGAGATGGCGAGCACGTCGCCGCTGCCGTCAGTACGTGCCGATGATGATCAGGTACCAGTAGATGCTCACTGCGGTCGTATGTATTCAACACTTGACCGTAGCGTAACAGTGCGAAACCTGCTTGGTACGTACGGTGCGGACAGGAGTGCAAACCCCCGATTCTGTCATGGAATTTTTCTATAGGATATTTCCTTGGACTAGGCACTGGGCAATTCACCATGTGTGGGTTCCCGACGGCGGACGCCGAGACTTGTCCAATGTAAGGGTTGATGCTCCGATTCCCATTATAAGGATACTACCCCCCCACGATACTACCCCCCAAATAAACCCCTAATGAACCCCCACCTGTGTCCAGAAGGCTGAGATAGCTGACTAGAGCTCTTTTTTGATGATTTGCAAAACAATATAGTTCGGGTCGCAGCAAAAGGCACATCAGCCCTTTATAAATACAAGTCCATACGTACTGCAGTGGTGTGCACTTCCAGCAAAGGCATAATCAGTGGTGTGCACTTCCAGAAAGCGGTCAGATACCAGCAGCATGCAGAAATTGATCAAAGCACAAGCTCGACAGAGAGATTGCCGCAGGGTAGTGAAAACACGCACAAGGCACTTTTGGGTGCAGCATGATGCATGGAGTCTGCAGGGACCAATCTGGTTGTTGGAACTGGAAGTACATCAGCCACAAGGAGGAGGCAGTGACACTCCAAATGAAGGTACATACCAGTTAGTAGTTGCTGTAGCATGCTTCAGACCACCAGCTACGGTAGCTCAGCGGTAGAGCGTGTGCTTGACATGCACAAGGTCGTGGGTTCGAAACCCATCCGAAGTACTCTTTTCGTCATTCATTTTTGACTTGGGTTCATCGAGCTAAAGTGGGTGGGTGTTCTTGCTTTTTTTTTCCAACAAGGAACCCAAGGCATGTGAGCTGGACTTGCCTTATAACAACCACATGCCAAGGCCTGTGTGCGTGCGGTGCTTCTCCACTGGTACTTCCTTGGCACGCGATTCATCAGCCAGCCGCTGCCAATGATATTGTGATCATACCTACTGTACTTTTTATTAATTCTCGCTCAGGGCGCGAAAAATGATGAATGGCATTCAACTCGAAGCTTGCTGTACGGATTGGACATGTCGTGTGACAGTCTGAAAGTGTCTCAATGACAACCACTCAAACGCCGCTGCCGCCAAATGGCATCTCGGGATCCTCCCCTACGTCCTCCTCCATGTGCCCCCCCCCCTTGGATTCTGCCATGTGTGTCATGACACTGCCAGAGTACGCCATGTGGAGCGCTGCCGACAGTGCCGAGCGTAAGCGCGCCAGGGGGATGCCCTTCAGAGCTTTAGGGCGTGCTCCTCCGGGCACTGACATCCTGCTGGCATACTCCGTCGCCACAGCCTCCAGCAGCTTCCGCCCCTGCTCCCCGATGCTGCCGAATGACCCGATTGCCAAAGTGGCAAGTTTGTAGCAATTCTGATCATAATCACCAGAATAGTGGGTACTTTTGGCGGCCTCTTGGTCGCGGCAGCAACGTTCGGGGTCTGCTGCAGTCTTCTGCGCCCGCGACGCCACCTGTGCCTCGAAGCAGGTAACGTCCACCATGAGTGGTAGTTGACGGGACGGGTTGTCATAGCCGGTCACCGGGAAGGCGTCGGCAGGCAGCACAATGTCCATCCTGCGACTCCCCGGCGGCCCGGCGGATCCCTGTACATGTAGTGCAGTCTCACACATGTGGAGAAACAGCAGTGTCCCCGGGAGGTTTTGGTCATGGCTGCAAGGGATATGTGTGTGTGAGAAGGTCCCGGGGATGCGGCCCTGCCACGTGCACTTAAATGTACAAGGTTAACCCCAGCAAAAACGACGATTTGGATTTTGATATATAGCTCCAAGAGTGGTTGTTGCAGCGGCCGTCGACAAGTGCACAAGCCTTCTTAGCTCAGTGGTAAGCCAGGGCCCACACAGGGAATTTTCGCAAGTGTGGTCGGGCGCGATAAGTTTTATCTGTTTCAGGACACCCCTTAATTGTCTCGAAACAGGTCATTCACTGACCTCGGCTTCTAGCCTGGGCTGTATGACCAAACCTGCCGTTGTAGGCCAAAGGCAGCACAGCCAGAACAAGTCACTTTCAAAGGGCAAAAATGCAAACAACATCAACAGCTATCGACATTAAGCAGAGACTGTCATCTGCACCTCGCACAGGCGCCGATACATTCATGCGGAACCCGCCAACAAGAGAGCATCGCTAGCAGCTGCTGCTGCCAGTGACATCTTTGTCGCGACGGCAACCAATTGTGGCGACGATGCATCTGCGCTGGGAGGTCTTCAAAGCTTGCGCTGTGATGGGGAATAGGCGCTCCATGATGTCGGCGCCGCGCTGCATGAGCCACAGCAGTGCTCCGCCTGGTAATGCAGATAGCGTATGCTCTGACATCTCCACAATGCCCCAGCATGCAGCAGCGTCAATCGTCCCACCAGGACTGCGGGGACCACACACAGTCCATTTAGAGGTGGAGCAGGCTGCCATGGGGTACGCACATAACGCAGCAGCACCTTCAAGTTTTTTGTAGCGAGGCCAAGTTCAGCCTGATGCAACTGCAACGACGGGAACCACAACATCGATGGCCCAGGTGTTGTGCGTTTTACGGCGATGACGCCGGCTTGTCAATGAACACATGCCGTGCATTTAGGCGCTGGCCGGTGGCCCTATTTCTGCACAAGAATCTGCGCATTCCACAGCAGTGGCAGCGGTGCATAAGCAAAAGCGCGTATCATCGTGCGGTCGCTGGCTCGGAGCAGCAGTGCGTGAGCGACACATTGTGACATGACGGCAGCAGTGCGCGCGCTACACACGAGGGCACAACATGCAGTGGCGATTCGGTGTGGAGGCAGCAATGCCGCAGCGCTTGCATTGCTTAGTGCAGGCACGCTCGACATCTGCCGTTTTCTGCACTGGACTTGCAGTGCGCTCTGGTTCTTGTGGCAATGCGAGTGACATGAACGTGCATACGAGAGACCCGGGCCCTGAGCACACTCAGTCTTCACCAACAGCTGGCCGCACGGCGTGCTCAGGCTGTGTGCCACAGTGTATGCGTATCACACGGTGCCAGTGCTCGGGACGGCGGTGCGTACGCGCAACACACATTGCCACCAGTGGCACGCTGTTTGCTTGCGCAACACCGAGTGACACGGCAGCACAAGCCTGAGGTGTGCGCGCGCCGCGGACGATGACGCACATCTCACACACGAGCTCGTGCAGGCGCAGCGGGCAGCAGCAACCAGTACACCAAGCACGCAGCGTGCACGCGCACCAGTGCGTACAGTGCTGCCGCAGCGCACCCTCATTAAATTACTAGTAGCAGTGCACCGTACCCTTGTGACGGTGGCGCACGTGCACGCGCAAAGCACAAGCGCCAGCGATGAGTGCCTACCCCTTGGCACCGCCAGGATCACAGTGCCTACACTTGATTCTGGAACATGCTGCAGCTGTGGCAGCGCCCCCCGCATGCAGCATTGGTCAGCACTGTGGCTTCGGCTTCACTGGCAGCAGCCCCAGGTGTTGCTGATGCATGCAGATGCGTGCATCAACAAATCTGCCGGTCAGGCGCATGCACTCTGCTCACTGCCACATAGGTGCTGGTTGCTCAACATCAGCAGCATGCGCGCTATAGCGACACGCTCACGACCGCAGCGTCTTCTCGCGACGGCACGTTGAGTCGCCGCACCTTTCTGACAATGATTTTCCATCACCTTGACGGTGGCATGCTACTACAAACCACATAGCTACACCTGTTGCTGCGTTGTACAGTACTGCAATCTTATCAGAAGCACCGCCGGCGATACTGTTTGCAGAATGCAGCTAGAGTTGGCAAGTCTGGTTTGGGCCGCTCATGCTATTGTACCTGATGAAATGTCAGCGTTAATGTGGTTGAACACATGGTGTGCGTATGTTCAACGCCCGGGTATAGGCCACTACAAAAGACGCCATTCTACCTTCAGAGTGGTCAGCCACACAGCTCAATGACGTTGTCATTAGCGCTTGAAAGGAACGACCAAGCAGCGCATATGGCACCATTCATGTGTAGTACTGACAGCTGCACAGAAACCACTTACAGTGAGCAATTGTTAACAAATTTGTTAACAAATTAATTGCTCGTCTTGCAACATTGTTCCACCTACCGTCATTGTCCTGGTCATGCAGGGGGGGGGGGGGGGGGGGGGGGAGTGCACTGCAGCTGATGCGAAGGCTCTGATATTGTCAGCCCAGGGGCTACTCACCTCCCTCCCCGGCGCCCTCCGCCTGGCCCAATGGCGCAACATCATCACCAACGTCACCCTCTGCTGTGTTGTGCTTTCTATCATGCTTTGAAGAATAACATACAATGATTTCCTGTTCTTTGTTTCAACACTTGCTGGTGCTTAAGCAATTGCCAGTAGCAACTGCAAAGGCATTTCGTTGAACATGGCGCCACTTCTGAATCACCTGGACCTCTGCTTCTTGAGTTCTCCCAGTGGTGAGCACCTCGCGCCTGTCTGTGAGCCTTGCAAATCTTGAAGAAGATGTCATTGTGTGGTGACTGGGTGGTGTCCCTACTCATTGTGTAGTTGAACTTTCCAGGAGCAATGACCTGCTTCAGCGCTCGAGTCACAGCCTTAAGCCCGCAATTGTTGCTTTAATTAAGAGACTGGCGGTGCTTACGAACACTCTCCAGTTCCCACTGGTAAGCATCAGTGCCGGTAAATGTGCCATGGCGGTGCCAATGCAGACCACAAGCCTTGCTTGCAGCATGTAGTTTGTTATGCGAGCATAAGGCAAACACACTGTTGGCAAGCACAGATGCAGCTGAGCGCTGCTGCCATACAACTTGAGGTGACTTATGACTGCACCTATTGAGAATACGGGCACAACTCTTCAATTGACCCGTGCCACCTGAAGGTGTGCTACGTGCTGCCAACACACAAGTATCTTCCTACTGCGCGCTGGTAGCATGCCCCTTCACAACATGCCCCCATCAATGACGTCAACGACCGTCCGGATCAAACAACAGTGACGCATGCAACAGGAAGCTACTGCAAGCCCGGCCTATCAACCTGAAGATAAGCAATGCAAATGCTCAGCAGGTGTAGGTAGCATGCCTGACACCACTTTACTGTGCGCCAGGTCAATTCAACTGCAGCACTAAACGCATATTACCAGCACGGACTAAACCCTCCTAGGGTGGCGATGTTAGCAGCAGCGGTCTGTCTTCAGAATCGTTATCATATATGATACAGATGTTGAGGTACCTCGTGTGACTCGGCATGCAACAGGCATCTGTGCATGCACTATACACACAGCAGACAATGCGGCACTGATACACCACCACAATACTCTTTGAAGACTGAGGTGTGTATGTGTGTGTGTGTGTGTGTGTGTGTGTGTGTGGCATCGCAGCAGAGTCCCACCATTACAGCTGGCGGAGGGCAGGTCAGATCATTCTGAATCATTCACTATCCACCAGGTGACACGTACATAATGTACACACATGTGCAGTCACCCCAGCCGTGGGGCCTTGCTACAACAAAGAAGGCAACACATGACTGCACTGCAAACACCCATATCAAGAATGTAGTGCAAGCCCTGCGCAATTACAAGCATGCTAGTAGAAGCAACTCGATATATCATCAGCTTACACAGAAAATACAAGAAAACAAGTGATTGCACTACATACAGCCACACTGCTCTCTGGTGCCTTATGTCCGTTTTGCAAGTTGGATCCATGCCGTTCAGGCTTAGACTGAAAGCAAGCTGCGAGTACCCACCCTCAGCTACCCTAAGCCTCTGCCACCGCCAG